AAAAAATAAAAGCGGCTAAATTTTATGAGATATTTGAAATCTTTTTTGTTTGAAAGCGTTGTGTGCCAATTCCAAATTATTTTACGTCAGAATCGCTCAAGCAGAAAAGCTACATACATATCGTCGTTTAAAGTGCAAAACCGCGTATCAGCAAAATGCAAATCGCATATGTGAAGTTTTAGAAATTTTTATCTGGAGGGTAAAAACACTCATATTTCAAAACGGTTCTCTTTTTTTATAAAGCAATCGCATTTCTGGCTAGTAAATTTCAGGACGAATGGATAAGGATTGAGCCAAGAGCTTGTGTGAGCAAATCCAATTTTTGGCAGCCAATGTCAGTTACGCGGTTTTGCAGAATGACGATACGCGGTTTTTTACTTTAAACGACGATATGTATATATAAATACAAAAGTTATTCTAGCCTATAAGACCTTATGGGTAGCGACGAATAACTGTACCCCAGTTTGTTTTTAATAAAAGTGTCCTTTACAGATTTAGCGAAAAAAGTATTTTATTGTTAATTTTCTACATTTTTCCTTTTTATTTTATTAATTAGTTTTAAAATTTTAATCTTTATTTGCATTTGCCAGCAGTGTAAACTTTGGAAGATAAGTACATACATGCGGCAGCAAGCAAGTCTTTTTCAGGTGTATTTTTTCTTAAGCTTTGTATAAAAAAAGATAAAAAAAAAGATATAATGTGTAGGGCTGGTCGAGTGAATGGCCGTCCTAGTCATCAGTTCCAAGTCTATTATACTGCTAAGCATGAGGCCTTATGTTGGACAAGAGGGGAGTATAATTGAATTCTTATTAACTATTGTCTTTACAACGTCTTGAGTTACTGTTTTGTCCGATGCAGAAAATATTTTACAAGCAAGTCTAGTATCGTCAAACTGAGTGGAAGAATAATATTGTCGGGTGTTAGTAACATCCGGACAGACAGTCACCGGGGGGGTTCAATTCATCAGATCTCAGAAGTACTTCCTTATAATATAAATATATCAATATATCAATAAATTGTTAAACATTGGTACTTTTCAAAACGTTTGCATTGCGATGATCTATAATAAATTAAATACCCACTCACGGAATTGTGCAATTATTGACCGCATATGCGTCCGCGGAATAGCGCAATTTTTTGTGCAATTCAATTATTTAATTTTATTTTTCCAATTTTTTTGTTCACTCCAGCTTGTAATCGCAAAATTTTCGTCATATTCGAGTGTATGGAATGTAATAGTAGGTTCTTATCATACTTATGTATTTATACATATCGATACATAAGTATAACAATAATTTATCACTTAAAGCGAAAATCAACCAAAAATCAACAAAATAAAAGGAAAAAAATAAAGCTACACAGAAATTTCACAATCATCCGAATGCAGCAGATACAGTCATTAATTTGAAAATTCCGAAAGTGCTCAGGGAATCGCGCGAAGATTGTGTAATAATTGTGCAATTGTGTGTTTACTGGGTACATCAGCCGCCGATTATTCAAGGCAGGGGTGCTCAACGACAACAACGTCAATATCAATTACAACAACATCGTTCTGGGATTGCAAAAAATATTTCAACACCAAACTGAACAAATTAATGGTACAAGCACACAGCTGAGCAAATGCGTGCCAACTCGAGGCAGCAGTGAACGAATGCCGATCGATTTTTGTCCCGTTCTGGACCATCGTGAGTTACTGTCGAAAATTCAGAATATCTTGCCAACAAAACGCACTGAACTCAATGCAGAATAAATGCTTGAAACGATGCAAGCTTTTGAAAACCAATGGCCGAATGATATTGTGGGTGAATTCTCAGCCAACTTCGCGATGTGGAAAAGGTTAGAACACAACAGCATATTTTTGATATTTACTCTCTCCCTCATAATATTCGCACTCTTAATACACTTTTTATGTTTGCAGCAGTGTTGTCACTTCAGAAACCAAATTAGTGGTAGATTTTTAATAAAAACAGTAGTAGATCTCTAGAAACTTGTGGTAGAATATTTGTAGTAACGTAAAAATTTGCCAAAAAATATATATATCAGACCATGAAGTAGTATTCAAATGTATTCTTAGTTTTCTTCTTACGCGCCATTTGTTCGAGATATTTGCCTACTAAGGTTTTCATTTTTATTGCCTTAGAAGGTACATATTTATGTACATATATCTTTGTCATTAAAAAGATCTTATTTCTAATATTTGCAATAAGTTCTTAAGTGTTGTTGTCTGTAGAAATACTGTTTTTTAAGCAACTTCACAGGCGTATTCTCAGGCGATGTCGAATCTCTAAGAAAATCGCCTCATGTAAGTGCAGATTATCCTTCACGCACGCAATATGAATTTTGAAACGGCAGCACCTTCAGCTCTTCGACTAACACAAAAGTCACAATAAATTTTCTTGACATTTTAATTCATATTGAGGAGAAAATGGACTGTTCAACCCTTAGGAAAAAAAAAAAACAATTTTTCAAATTATTTAATAATTTTATTTCAGTAAAATTGTGGTAGTTTTTTAAAATATGTGGTAGTTGTGGTAGAATTTAAAAATGACCCAGAATGTGGTAGATCTACGACAATTGTGGTAAAGTGGCAACACTGCTTTGCAGACATTGTTCAAAGATTCCGTTGGAAAAAAGAGCAAAATCATTTATTGATGCTCTCAATAGCTGCAACAAACAATTGTACCCATTCATACATCGGTTGCTACAAATTTGCGCAACTCCTCACGTGTCAATGGCTTCAAGCGAACGCTCGTTTTCACTCTGCGCAGATTGAAAACTTATCTACGAAGTTAAACAGGCGAAGATCGATTAAACGGGCTAGCGTTGTTGAACGTGCACCGAGACGTGGAAGTAACGAACGAAAATGTTATCGACATTATGCAAAAAATTCCAAGGAGATTGGATATAATGTTATAAAATAAAACATTGTTAAATATTGTGACAAAAATTAATATACTAATGGTTGCGAACATTTCATTTAATAAAAATAACAATCGATATGAGGTTCATAAATATTTAGGTAATTTTTAAGCAAACAACACATCCGACTTCAATTCTCATATACAAATTTAAGAGTACCGTTAATTTTTTCGTGGTCCAATAATCGGACCTAAACAACCATCTTTCCGATCAAAAAAAGAATTATAGAAATCAGTTCACGTGGTCTAAAGTTATGCGGTAGCATATATCAAATTGAAAAAATATTCCTACGAATTGATAACCTCCCCCTTTATAGAAGTCGGCTAAAAATGTAGAAGTTCTTTGTTAATTTTATATAAAAAAGTGCAATTTATGAAACTTTAAAAATTTTATTTATTTATTACATACTGTACATAAAACTTGCATAAATGTATTTTAAGAGCATATTATCGGAAGCGAATTTTCAGTATTTTCTGGTGATATATCTATAGAAGTATAAACCCCTCCCAAAATATATTGCTGGGTGCGCCGCTGAGATCAGCGCATTTTTCAGTCAGTTGAACAAATTCGACTTTCTTTTTCCCCAACAGTATTTTTCTTCCACGTTGTGCAGGTACTTTTATCTGTTTTCTTCATGCCTTCCATAGGTAATACGACATGGTGTATTGTATATTTGTAAATAAAACTTAACTTGCCTGCACACACTTTCAGTCCCGGATTGTATTACACAATTACTTATTAAATCAGAATGTATTGAAACGCTAACAATATTTATTAAAAATAAATCAAAACAAGAAATACATTATTAACAATTAATCTGCAAAAGAATTGTGTGTTAACGAGCCAAGTGCTGTTCAGGTAGTTACTTATAACTGTTATCTTAATTATATCCAACGAATTATAAAAAACTCAGTGGGTGTTGTCCCTACGCGCGGAAGAAGTGCAACTTAATTGAGGAAATGCCAGAAAAAAAGAAATTTGCGAAATGTGACGTCGATCATAACAGTCTACTTATCTTCATCTTCATCTTCATCTTCATCTTCATCTTCATCTTCATCTTCATCTTCA